AGACGCAAGGATCCTTATTGATACCGGGGCGCAACGATCATTTGTGAGTGAGGCGTTCGCCAGCGGATTCAACGGACCACTTGTACCGATGACTCAAACCCTATTGGTGTCCACGCCTCTAGGGGATGATATCGAGAGAGATAGCCATTATCCATCGTGTGAGGTGGAGGTGGAGGGACAGAACTTGACGTGTGATTTTGTACCGCTGAGTATGATCGAGTTTGATGCAATCCTCGGGATGGATTGGCTTGAGAAACATCATGCTAGGGTCGATTGCTACACGAAGATTCTTGAACTCGAAGGCGATGAAGGGTTGACCTTACGCTTCGAGGGAGATAGAGTCAAATCAAACAGTTGTATCATATCCGCCGTGAGGGAGAGGAACATGATGAGGAAAGGATGTCACGCATATCTAGCTTATGTGGTGGACAAAACCAAAGAAGAGGTAGACATCAATGATGTGAGAGTAGTGTGCAAGTATCCGGACGTCTTCCCAAAAGACTTGCCGGGACTTCCACCCGATAGGGAGATTGAGTTCGTGATCGAGGTTGAACCCGACACCAAACCAATCTCTATACCGCCATACAGAATGGCACCCGCTGAACTTAACGAGTTGAAAACCCAATTGCAAGAGCTATTGGATAACGGTTTCATAAGGCCGAGTCACTCTCCGTGGGGAGCGCCGGTCCTTTTCGTGAAAAAGAAAGATGGAACACTTCGAATGTGCATTGACTATCGTCAACTGAACAAGGTCACAATCAAGAATAGGTATCCCTTGCCTAGGATTGATGACTTGTTTGATCAGCTCCGAGGAGCGACGGTGTTTTCGAAGATTGACCTAAGGTCGGGGTACCACCAACTGAAAATAAAGGAGGATGACATACCGAAGAGTGCATTCCGCACAAGGTATGGTCATTTCGAGTTCCTAGTTATGTCGTTCGGGCTAACTAACGCCCCGGCGGCATTTATGGACTTGATGAACCGAGTATTTCATTAATACTTGGACCGATTTGTGATTGTGTTCATAGATGATATCTTGATTTACTCAAAGAGTGAAGAAGAGCATGAGGAGCACTTGATACTTGTTCTTGAGACACTACGGGAGAAGCAACTCTATGCCAAGTTTTCCAAATGTGAATTTTGGCTAAGGGAGATCGGCTTTCTCGGGCATGTGGTTTCGGGATCAGGGATTGCCGTCGATAACAAGAAGATTGAGGCCATTACCGAATGGGAGAGGCCAAAGAACGTCAAGGAAATTCGTAGCTTCCTTGGATTGGCAGGGTACTACCGGAAATTTGTGGAGAAATTCTCAGTTTTGGCATCGCCATTGACAAAGCTCACTCGAAAGGGGGCCAAGTTTGTATGGGATGACCGATGTGAGAAGGGATTCCTTGAACTGAAGAAGAGATTGACCGAGGCACCGGTACTCGCACTACCCAAACAGGGTGTGGGGTACGATGTCTACAGCGACGCAAGCATCCAAGGGCTTGGATGTGTCTTGATGCAGAATGGGAGGGTGATTGCCTATGCTTCGCGACAGTTGAAGAAGCATGAGGTAAATTATCCCACTCAAGACTTAGAGCTGGGGGCGGTGGTGTTCGCATTGAAGATTTGGAGACATTATCTCTACGGGGAAACATGTCATATATACACCGACCACAAAAGCCTGAAGTACGTGTTTACTCAAAAAGAGTTAAACATGAGACAGAGACGGTGGATGGAATTGATAAAAGACTACCATCTAGTTATCGAGTACCACCCCGGTAAAGCCAACGTGGTAGCGGATGCCTTGAGTCGAAAAAATTCATCTGGGGCATTATTGACTAGCTTGAGAGCATTGAGGGCTCAATTGGAGGTATCTAACGATGGTGCCTTGTTAGCTAGATTCGAGGTGAGACCTACATTGCTTGATGAAATCAAGAAGGGTCAAGAAACCGACGAAGAAATTATGAAGATCCGTGAACGCATGCTAACGGGACCGGTTGAGGATTTCAGGGAGAGAGACGATGGTCTCTTATTATTTCGTGACCGAGTGTGTGTACCGTTGGATGATGAACTCCGAAAGTCCATCTTAGAGGAGGCTCATTCTTCGGCATATGCCATGCACCAGGGAGGCACGAAGATGTACCGTGATTTGAAGGAAAGTTACTGGTGGTCAAGGATGAAGAGGAAAATAGCCGAGTACATCAGTAGGTGTCTTACTTGTCAGCAAGTTAAGGCAGAACATCAGCATCCGGCTGGGTTACTACAGCCACTTTCCATTCCTGAATGGAAATGGGAACACGTGACTATGGATTTCGTGGTGGGGCTGCCACGAACGGTTAAGAATTATGATGCCGTATGGGTTGTGGTCGATAGGCTCACGAAGAGTGCACACTTTCTACCTATCAACACTACCTATGCATTGGAGAGGTTAGCCAAGTTGTATGTGGACGAGATCGTGAGGCTACATGGGGTTCCTATAACCATTGTATCCGATAGAGATCCGCGATTCACATCACGATTTTGGCCGAAGTTCCAAGAATCTATGGGAACAAAGTTGAAATTCAGTACAGCTTTTCATCCACAAACGGATGGGCAATCTGAGCGGGTTATACAGATATTAGAGGATATGCTGAGAGCCTGTGCATTGGAGTTCCAAGGGAGTTGGGACAACCACTTATCACTTGTGGAGTTTGCCTATAACAACAGTTATCAGGCAAGTATAGGCATGCCTCCATACGAGGCATTGTATGGGAGGATATGTCGTACACCGTTGTGTTGGGATGAGGTCGGCATGGCCAAACTCGAGAGCACGGAATTGGTGGAGATCATCAAGTCTAAGGTGAAGATGATTCGTGAGAGACTTAAGGCGGCTCAGGATAGGCAGAAAAGTTATGCCGATAAGCGCCGAAGAGCCTTGGAGTTCAAGGCGGGAGATGAAGTATTTTTGAAAGTTTCACCTTGGAAGGGAATCATCCGATTTAAGAGCCGAGGGAAACTTAACCCACGATACATAGGGCCATTCGTGGTTCTTGAGAGGATTGGGGCCGTGGCATACCGATTACAGTTGACTCCAGAATTGGAGAAGATACATAACGTATTCCACGTATCCATGCTTAAGAAGTATATGCCGGATCCATCTCATGTATTAGAAAAACCACCCGTGGAAATACGGGAAGACTTGAACTATGCCGTGCAACCGGTGAAGATACTTGACAGGCAAGTCAAGAAATTGAGAAGCAAGAAAGTTCCAATGGTTAAAATCCTTTGGAAAAGTGACCGAGTCGAAGAGGAAACTTGGGAAACGGAGGCTTTGATGAAAGAGCAATACGCGTTTTTGTTTGAATGAGCATTGTGAATTTCGGGGACGAAATTCCCGTTAAGGGGGGGGTGAACTTGTAACACCGACCCCGAGCATATTTACTTTTAGTAAATGATGTAATAAACCTTGAAAGATGATTTATGAATTTGCGTAATTGTTAATTTTTACTATTTATTTTACGTGAATAGTAAATTGCATGTGGGGCCCACAGCGGGACGGGGACCGCCCGCTAATTCCCGAACCACATATTATATTCATCTTGGTCTAGATAATATGTATATGGTGGTGGATATTTTATTTGGGCCATAAGAAAGGCATGGGGTTGACCGGTTGGTCAAACGGGGCCCAAATTACCGGTATTGGTAATTTAACGGATAACAGCCCGAAAAGAGTTTCGGAGACTCCTAAATTAATGTTGGGGAATATACATCTATTCTAAAGGCCCATAATTATTAGGAACACGTGATATATTTTATTTGGCACGATAAAATAAAATATGACTAAAGTAGTCCGAAAAATACAACTTTCGGGGCCGATTGTACACACCGGGACACAACGGGATGACCTCCCACCTAAGTGGGGGCCATCCCACGTTTTTGTGATCTGATTACCAAGGAAAGAGCTGGGAAGAAGCTCCTAGGGACAAGACCCATACCCACCATGATACCCTACCCCTTGTTTTATTGGTTGACTTAGAGGAGTAGGGATGATCTCTTATCCTCACACTCACTCTACACCATACGCACAAGAAGGGAGGGAGAGGGTCTTGGGATAGCTCTGCCAACAGGAAACTTTGAGGAAGCAAAAAGGAAGTGAAATCCAGGAGGAAAAGCTAGAAGAAGAGGTAAGAACACAATTTCTACTCTTTTAACTAGTTTTATGGTGTATGATTTGTAAGAAATCATATGATGGATTAAACATGATGTTCTACACGTTTAAAAGTGTAGAATATTGATATAAAGTGGTGATATTTAACTTAGAAGAGTTGGTGAATCGATAGGAGTCGAAATCGCCGGAAACCGCCACTTTAAGGGAGCTGCTCGTTTCTGCAGAACACGAAAGCCGCCCGGCTTTCGTGAAAGCCGCCCGGTTTTTGCCCAGGCAGTCCAGTTTTGCCTTTCAATCGGCCTAGAACGGGGATTGATCGAGGGGCGTAACAAAGGCAACTATTGTAGCACATCACGAGGTGAGGATGGCTGACTATATTGCTTATAATTAGTGAGTTAATTTCATAAGAATGCCTAAAGTAATTAGATGGGATTTTCATGGACTATTAAAGATTAATAATGTCTAAATGAAAATAATATGAATATGAGTAAGTGAAGCATGACATACAAATTTAGAATAATTGTGTATGATTATGTGAAATGAATGGAATGGCATGTTAATGGAATTACTAAGATGACATTGTGATAAAATATCCTTTACTTCATGTATGAACTTCATGAATGGATTAAAGTGATATTTTTGATATTGAGATTAAACTATACTTGGGTTGAGAAACCAATGGAAATGAAATGCAATATGGGGATAGGAACTTGGCATGTTCTATGGTTATCCTATTAGTATCAAAATACTAGTCGGGGAATTAATATAAATAAATGATGAAATAAATCCTAAGAGGTAGGATTGTGGATAGATATGCCTTAAGTAGTCTCAAGAGATACTTAAGGATGAATGACATGAACACTAAGGAGTGATTAGGGGTAGGCCTAAAGGCCACCTCCGGAAATTGATTCTAGGCATAGGACTTGCTTGAGAATTTGATTATGAAAATAAATAGAGTTGGACTCTAGGATGACATGGAGATGTAGTTGGGCCGAGCCCATGCCATGTAACATGATTAGCATGGAAACGTAGTTGGGCCGAGCCCTTGCCATGTATATGTGACCTCCGTGGAAACGCAGTTGGGTCGAGCCCTTGCCACGAGGTTATGGTTGGTATGGAAACGTAGTTGGGCCGAGCCCTTGCCATACAAATGTTGATATGATACATCGAGTTAGAGGATTGTATAGAGATGTAGTTGGGCCGAGCCCATGCTATACAATTGGGGCTCGATGGGACCCCACGGGGTTATCGTGACTCGCGGTCACGGGGGAATGGGAACGGTGAATTCTAAATGAATATGGGCCTACGGGCCGTCTACTTGACTTTATGTAAAGTAAGTACAGTTAAAGGTAAAAAGGGGTAACCGAGGGTTATGGCCTATAATATAATAGTACCCTAAGACGGGGGTCTTGGAAATTAAAACGTTGATTATACTTAGTATAGTTGCTATTGTACTTGTCAAATATTTCCAAGTACTGACCTCCCCTTCACGGGGGAGGCCACCTCACAGTTTCAGGTAGGACTTGAAGGTTGTTACCGAAGCCCGTTGCTTCAGGGATTTCCAAGGGAGAAGACATGGTTCGTGCTTCTTCTGTTTCCTGTTTTCAAAACAATTATAACAATGCTCATGGATACTATTTTTGAATAACTATTTGGGGGCTTGTATGCCCATGTTTGCCAAAGTGTGGCTAAGACATCTTTATTAAATGCTTCCGCTGTTTTAAATGAATGATTTACATTATGCTTGTTTATGGATGTACTATGTGTGAATGGTATTCAAGACGCCTTGTATAGTATGGATGAGTTGGACTGCGGTTGACTATTCGTACTGTACGGCGGGTTGTTGACGTGTCCGGGTAGGTCCGGGGCGTGACAGTTGGAATATGACCGTTAGAGGTGATGTCCACGTGTCGTGTACCCGTTGGCTAGATGCGGGTGGGTGTCACCGGTTGGGTGAAACAACGACATGCAATGATGACTTTTTAAACCGGAGGCCCGGTTTCGGCCCAAGCCCGGATTGGGGAGCCTATAAATACCCCATGGCCTGAACTCCACTCCTTGTGCGATTTCATTTGTAGCGAAGCTCTGGCAAAATATTTCTAGAGAGAGAAAGTTCCCTTCGATCAAACCAAGTTCTCAAGGTCAGTTTTCCTTCGTCCCTCACCTCAACTGCATACTTAACTTTTCCAGCCTTAGATTAAGTGCTAGAGTTGTTTAGGAAGCATTCGGTCTTAAACCTTCGACCTTTAGTTTTCGAAAATGTCGTCTGCAAGTGATTCGCAAGACATCTTGAGGGAGCCCTCGGTTGAGGAGGAAAGCGTCTCCGATGTGGAGTCCACAAGTGAGCAGTCCTCCGGTGGTGATTTTGCCCTCGCCATGGAGGTGCAAAAAGATCTTGTCGCCGAAGTCGAGGCCGAAGGGTTCGAGCAGGAGTGTGAGGATGAGGAGTTAGCTCTCGCCTACCAAGTGGCCGAGGAGGGGGTGCAGAAAGAGAGGATGAAGGTCACCGTCGCTGTCCCACCCCCTTGCAATGATGCTGAAGCCGGGAGCTCAAGGCCCCTGGACCCGATGCCTATCAACGTGGCGCCGGGTAAAAAGAAGAAGACGAGGGTGGCACCGAGGAAGAAGCAGGATGCCGTCGACGCGGGTCAACCAGTAGGGATTCCCGAAGGCTACTCCTACCTGAACACCGCCGCCTTAGATGTGAAGACTAGAGCCACACGGGGAGAATACATGGCGACACAACTCTTGGTCGGGCCCTCGGCACAGGTGGTGGAGCCGGGGCCAGATGACGTTCTGTTATATGCCCCCGTTGGCTATTTTTCCGTGCACATACTCTCGGTGGAGTTGGGCCTCTGATTCCCCCTCCACCCCTTCGTGATCGAGTACCTTCGGTTCGTCAAACTCGCCCCCTGCCAACTGACCCCGAACAGCCATTCCTACTTGGCTGGCTTCCTTTCCCTTTGCTGAAGCAGGGATGTGGAGCCCACTCTAGATCAATTCTTCCTCTCCTTCAACCTCTGCCGGGGACGTCACTCAAATGCACAGGGCTTCGTCAACCTGCAGCAGCTCCCCGAATTCAGGCTTTTTTAACGATGTCCCCTCGTCTCACAAGGGGTGGAAAGACAAGTTCTGTTATGTCCGAATGGCGGAGAATCCCTTCCCGGCCCCACTCCGTGATAGCTTCCGAAGGCATGCAAAGGTAGGGAGCGCCGCCTTGAAGGATACCAAGATCAAGGATGCCACCCTTCCGGACGAGTCGTACAAGCTCGGCTTCCGTCGGTATCGGCTCATGGGGGAGGAGGCCGAAAATTACCCCGAGATCGATCGTGTATATGAGAGCGCCGAAGGTGGTAGCACTACCGAGGGCATTAGCTTGTGTACTTAGCAATTTTTTTTTGCTTTGTTGTAGTAGTATTCTAACCCTTGTGTGCCTTCCTTGTTTTTCAGGACCAGATATGGACGCTAGGAACCTCTCCAAACTGAAGAAGCAACTTGCGAATGAGAACAAGAATAAGGATGCCTCGGCTCAGCAGAGGGCGGTGGATGACATCTTCCCGAAGGTGGGAACTGCCGACGGGGCCAAGGAGGTAGTGCCTGAGGTGAAGGCTTCTGCCCGCGATGATGTCGGTTCTGATGCTAGAGGCTCTCGCCTTGGGGAGCTTAAGAGGAAAAGAGCCGGGAAGGGCGTGGTGCCCCTGGAGGAGAAGAAGCAAAAGAAAGGGGCCGTCAGGATGAAAGAGGCCCCCGTTGTCATTGTTGATGAACAACCCTCGGAGCCCTCGGCTATGGTTGCTGGCATGTCGTGGCCCCAAGACAATGTGCAGTTCTCCATCACCAAGGGGACTGCCATCATGCACACGACTTTGAACCCGAGGGAGTTCATGAGGGGCGCCGCCCCTCCGACTGATAAGTCTGTGCTCTCCCGACAGGCTGACGATGCCCTCTGCTCCAAGGTCCTTCAGGCCTCGGTCGCTGTAAGTTCCCTTCTCTCTTTTTCTTTAGTCAACTTAGACTCAACATCTTCGTGCGTAGTGATTTTAACCTTCGATATTTCCTGATCCCCCTTGCAGGAAAGCCTTGGCCTCGGTGAACTCACCTAGAGGATGGAGCGTTATGCCCTTCAGAAGCAGAAGGATGACGAAGCCTTTGTTGTGGACCAAAGGAGGCTTCGGGAGGCCGAGGAAGCTTTCAAAGTCGAGAGGGCGGCCCTCAAAAAAATTCTTGATAACGCCAAGACAGTGGAAAAGGCCGAGGGGAGAGCTGAGGCTGAGAAGGCAGCTGCTGAGGCCGCTAAGAAGACCAATGAAGACGCCGAGGTCGCCAAGAGGGAGGCGGTGAGGGAAGCGGTGGCCGCCTTCGTCGGCGAGGGCTGGAAAGCCGAGACCCAGAAAGCATGGGTGGCTTCGGTAGTTGAGGCCTCTGTAGACGAGTGGGTAAGAGGCCCCGGGGCGATGTGGCTGGTCCAGAAGGGGAAGGAGTACTACGATGGGGGCGAGTACTTTACTCAGGCCCTCATCTATCGGAGGCTAGCCAGACACCTGGGAACAGACCCGACAGCATTTGATCCGGCGGCTTATGGGCTCCCCCCTCTCCAGCCAGACACCAGAATTCCCCTTCCCGAGGGTGCTATGAGGCCAGATCTTGAGGACACCGTCTTGATGGCGGAGTGCAGCGATGAAGAGGAAGAGGCCGGGGATGACGCCACGTCGAAGCCTGCTGAGGGGGGTGCTGCCGTAGTTGGATGATAATCTTGTTGTTGTATATTCTGAACAATTTGTTGTAATGGATATTTCTGTATCTTTCGGCCTCGACCATCTTTTGTAATCCAAACACGTTACTCTTTCATTTCTTGTGAATGAATGCATGGGTGCCTTCAGGCTTGGCGATGTATGACATTGCTTTTCTTTCGATAAGTGCCTTTGTTTTTTCTTTGTGAAATGAATGCCTTCGAATTTGTCTTGTGAATGAATGTCCTCGTACTTTAATGTTTAAGTTGTCAGTCGTTTAGAACTTAGATTTTTTTTTCTAAGTGTCTATTCACAGCTTTTGCCTTCGGTTGTCATTCTCTTTTGTATGCCTTTTGTTATGTAAGTTGTGAGCCCTACCCCACTGATGGCCGGGGGCTTCTTGTTCAGGGCTTAGAAAATCCTTGAGCGTGGTTTTACCACTGAGCCTTTGGTTGTGTGACCCCTCTGGCTGCATGGAGATTTGACCGAGGGTCAAATATTTAGGACTTAGAAAATTTTTCCAATTGTAATTTCACCACTGAGCCTTCAGTTGTGTGACCCCTCTGGCTACATGGAGATTTGACCGAGGGCCAAATATTTAGGACTTAGAAAATTTTTCCAATTGTAGTTTCACCATTGAGCCTTCGGTTGTGTGACCCTCTGGGTGCATGGAGATTTGACCGAGGGCCAAATATTTAGGACTTAGAAATTTTTTCCAATTGTAGTTTCACCACTGTGCCTTCGGTTGTGTGACCCATCTGGCTGCATGGAGATTTGACCGAGAGCCAAATATTTAGGACTTAGATTTTTTTTCCAGTTGTCACTTGTCACTTGGCCTTCGGTAAATGAGCCCTGTGAGTACTAGCCTCTGGTGTTGATTGTAGCGCCGGGGGTTGCTAGGACTTGGACTTAGGAAATTCAAGATCATGTCAGTGGGTACTTGCCTTCGGTATCGTGTAGCAGGCACCCTCGGCCATAGTGGGCTCCAAAATGTGGACTTAGGAAAATTTTGTAAGACATTCATGTTGTAGTAAGGGCGGATGGAAAGTGGATGCCTTCAGTATCCCTTGAGTCGTTGTTGAGTGGACTTAGCCAATTTTCGGTAGCATTTGTTGAATAGCAGCCTTCTGGAATTAGTAGCTCCCAGGTATCTGAGGTGTTCCCATGGGGAGGCCTCGGTATGACCTTTCTGTTTTGTAACAACCCTTCTTCCTGTTTGCCGAAGGGTGTTCCGTCGTGGATTGTTGGAGTTGTGTACTCATTGATTGCTCGTTGAGTCTACTCCCCTTCACCTTTTTTTTGGTAGTGAAGGGAAGGCTTCAAGAAACTTGGTTTCTTGGTAAGGCTTGGCCTATCGGGAGTCGAGGGGATCGAGGGTCGTTTCCTCGGCATAAGACATAGTCTGTAGCCTGCCTCCCCTTGGGGGACGGCACGGAAAGCGCCTCAGTTTTGAAAGTCGTCATCTCGGCGCGAGACATAGTCTGTGGCCTGCCATACCCTTGGGGTAATAGTGCGGGGAGCGTTTCGTTTTGGAAGTCGAATCCTGGGCATATTAGATGCCTGCCACTCCCTTGGGGCAATGGCGCGGAAAGCGTTCCGTTTTTGAAAGTCGAATCCTGGGCATATTAGTTGCATGTCATTCACTTGGGGTAATGACGCGGAAAGCGTTTCAAGGAAAGATTTTCATTTGCACATGGGTTGCAAATGGCCGGGGGCACTACGTGCCGCCGGCACCGATAGGTGACGCCTTCGGTATAAATGCGTCCTCGAGGGGTACGACTAACACTTGGTGTTTGTTTCGGCATACGGCCCCCGGTACTTGGTACCGAGGGGTCTTCAAAGGAAACACTTGGTGTTTTCCTCTGCCTGGAGTTGATAGGAGTACGGTCCCCGGTACTTGGTACCGAGGGGTCTTCTTAAAAACACTTGGTGTTTCCTTCATTTTCCGTAGGTGATTGGAGTGTCTACCCTCGGCACTTGGTGCCGAACGGTTTTGCTTGTGATAAGGCCTTGGGCCAATAGTCTGCATGAGGGCTTGACAGCTCACATGTGTCTTGTTTCTTGTTCTTGGTGTCTTCAATATGTCTTAAAATTTGAAGGCCTTGGGCCGTAGGATAATACATTCATTAGTTATGAGGGCTTGTCCGCTCTAATATTACTGATAAAATTTAACTAGGTGATGTACATTCCAATGTCTAGAGACCTCTGTCCCATTGGGGCATTTGAGTTTGTAAGTCCCAGGTTTGATAATGGCTGCTACGATGTAGGGACCCTCAAACTTAGGTGCCATCTTGCCACCCTCACTTGGTTGGCTAGCTTCCCTCCATTGGAGGACGTAATCCCCCACTTGGAATTCTCGAGAGCGGACCTTGGCGTCGATGTAGCTTTTGACTTGCCTTCAGTAGTTTTCCGCTTGTATGAAGGCTTGTTCTCGGCGTTCTGAAATGAGGTGAAGGTCGAGGGCCATGTTGGCATCATTAACTTCCGGATCATATTAGGCCACCCTTCGGGTAGGAAGGGTCACTTCAGTGGGAGCTTTAGCCTCAAATCCATAGCACAGGGAGAAGGGTGTTTCACCTGTTGCCCGCCGAGGGGTGGTGCGGTAAGCCCATAGGATGATGTGGAGTTCTTCCACCCAGCCTCCACCTTCGGCATCCAGCTTCTTTTTTAGGCCCTCAAGTAATGTCCGGTTGACGTTCTCCACTTGACCGTTGCCTTGAGGGTAAGCAACGGATCAGAAGGTATGTTTAATGCCCCATGCCTCAAGGAGGGCATAGAAGGGGGCTACCTCAAATTGAGTCCCGTTGTCGGAGATGATTTGCTGAGGGACACCGAACCTTGTGAGGATATTTTTGAGGATAAAGTGGCGGCATCTGGCTTCGGTGATGCTGGCGAGGGGCTCAGCCTCCACTTATTTGGTGAAGTAGTCAATGACAACGATAATGTACCTGTTGTTGGAGGTACCCCTCGACAGAGGGCCCACAAGGTCTATGCCCCATCTAGCGAAGGGTATAGATGTGTTGATGGGGGCATAGTTGACCGCTGGCCTGCCGGGGGCCTTCTGGAAGTGTTGATAGGCGGTACACCTTCGGGCGAGATCCGCACAATCTCGGGCCATTGTAGGCCAGAAGTAGTCTTGGACTATGAGCCTTCGGGACATGGAGAAGAGTCCCTGGTGAGCTGAGCAAGTGCCACTGTGCACTTCCTCCATGGCGACTTCGGCTTCGTCTTGATGAAGGCATCAGAGTAGTGTGCCGTTGTAAGATCGTTTGTAGATGACGAGCACTTTGTCACGGTACGTCAAAATAAATTCAATACTAAACACTTATACGTAGTATAGGTAAAGTAGAGTTTGTATCCACACGGAAAGGAATAGTTCTCTTTTTATGAAACTTAGTAAATAAACGGGGGATTTGGATTGAGTGATTTAATTTAATTAAAAACTAAGATGAACGACCTATATGAGATTTAAATCGAAGATAAAAAGGACTTGGCATTGCTACTTTCCACTTGTTGATATATTTTAGTCGATCATTGTTATGTCTATAACTTATTCCCTCTCGAATACTCAATCGGCGAGTATATCCACTTCATCGAGGTAGTTATTAACAACAACCGTTCATTAATAACCCTTACTACTAATCAAATATAGAACAACGCCTTATACCGATTTAATAGTAGCATTTAATCTTTCTAACTCCTTGATGAAATCAATTGAGATTGATAACCTCAACACAACGGTTTCGGTTTAACCAACAAAATTAATCCCTCTTAAGTTTATTAACCACGACCGTGCATTAATAAACTGAAGTTACTTACTTGTGAAACCATCAACGATTAACCATCGGTTCGTTGATCGTTTCTAGTAATAATTAATATATGAAACAAAACTAGTTGATCCTTTAAGTAATGTTCAAAATATTAATATGAAATATGAGTAGGAATTAATTAATATTCAAGGAAGAATATTATTAAAGGAAATGAATCCTACTATAATTAATATCAAGATGATAACTAATTGTCATCTTAGCAACACTCCCCAACATTAATATAGAGGAAGAAAATATCATTCTAACTAATGTCGAGATGTTAACTAATTGTCATCTTAGCAACACTCCCCAACACTAATATAGAGATGGTATTAAGGAAAGAACTATTAATTAATATTCAAGGAAAGAAGTTAAGAAAATAACTTACAACTTTAATAATCAACAAGCTTCAAGAGCAACACCAAGAAATGGAAGTTTAGCTCCTCATTTGGAGACTAATCATGCTATAAAATATAAAGAAATGCTATTCTAAATTGAGCTTAAGAGTATGGAAGAAGGAATTATTAAAAGTGAAGGAAAAGTATGCTATTTATAGGTGTTTTCAACACCCTGGGGCGAATACCCGACCGGGTAAAGTGCCATACCCGACCGGGTATCAGTCAAAATCAAATATTTGCCACGTTCTGGTGATCTTCGCACGCCGTTTTGTCCCGGGTTACATCTGACCCGACCGGGTCAAGTAGGGGACCCGACCGGGTCCAGTGACTTTCTTGGCAATTTCGTCTGTTAAATCATACCCGACCGGGTGGGGGTTTCTACCCGGTCGGGTTTTACTCCTGGGCAGTCAAATTTCTTGTTTTCTTCTCTTCAAAGTCTTTCTTTCCAACACCATAATTCCTAATTCTACTTTACAACTAATAAATGAAGATTAAAATACAATTACAACTAAATTCACACAAATGTTTACAAACTAAATAAAACGGTAAACAATACACACAAATCAATCATAAAAATATACATTTATGCACTACTAATTAGTGCATATCAAATACCCCCACACAAGAATATCAACACACACATCCACGAGTGTTTTTAGAAACACATAAAGTATATCCCCAAAAATATAACAGTAAAGAGGGTCTTCAACTCCATATTTATTTATCAACCTCAACCCTTTTTTTTCGTTATCCTTAGGATCTGCAGAAATAAAAGAAAATACTTTCTCTCGTTCTCTCATTTTGCCTAGGTGCCCTTTCGGGTTTTCATCCCAGCTTCCCACATTTTTCTGTTTTAATCCTCACAACTCACTCTTATTTTTGCTTTATTTTTGCTTAAGTTGCCCTTTCGGGTTTTCAACTTAACAAGCTTTTATAATTTTTTTATTTTTTTTTTATTTTTTTACAAGAATAAAGAGTATGAATGTGAGTATTCCATAAAACTCTCCCCCCAAGCTAATCAAAGCATTGTCCCTAGTGCTTGTGTCTGAGATGAATGTTTTTTTTTTGTTACTTTTTGGGAGGTTTTGTTGGTGATTCGTGGGTGTGGAGATGAAAAGGGTGAAGAGGTGATGAATGAAATGGGTTTAATTGGTGGATGGATGTAGGAGATATGAAGCTTTTGACTTTTGGAAATGGAGGAAATTTGGGGTGTGGTTCGGATGGGAAGAAAAGAAAATGGGGAAGAAAAGCTGCCCGCCCGCACCCTTATCGGGCTTTTGCCCGACCACCCGACCGGGTATAGTGACTGACCCGGTCGGATGTAAGCTGTTCACCGAGGCAGAGAGTTTTTTGCTGGGTTGCCCGGTCGGGTATAGGGGTCTACCCGGTCGGGCTGTTGTTTCATTCTTTTGTTCTTCATCTACCTCGCCCGGGCGGTTGGCCGGGTGCTGTGCTTTAAGAGATAACCCGATCGGGTAGGGTTTTATACCCGGCCGGGTTCAATCCCAGGTCATTATTTTTTTTTGAAATGTGTAAAAATAAAATAACACAAGTAAACGTACCTTGCATGGGTTGCCTCCCAAGAAGCGCCTTATTTAACGTCGCGACACGACGCCATCATTGTGTTCAATCATTTAAACTTGGATCATGATAGTTTAGCTTCGCCACATTTTCACTCCTAGGGCTTCCATAGGAATGCTTGATTTTCTGACCCTTCACTTTGAAAATCCATCCAGGATCAAATATCCAGATTTTCATTGATTCATGTGGTGGGAGTGAGGGAAAGAAATTATCGGTTAACATGGTCAATGGAAAATGTTTGGATCCCTCAATTGTGCTGAGAATTTCAAAAATGTCACTCTCCTTTTCAATTTTATGAGTTGCCCTCAAAGTTTTTAGAACTGATGGGGGTACCTCAAAGAATGATAAGGATAGGTATTTGAAACTCGGTTCATCATCTTCTTTGACCAGCTGGAGCTCCGTGTCTTTTTCTTCTTCCACTTCTTCTGGATTCTTGATCTCCTTTTGCATTTCCTTTTCATTTGTCAATGTGATTGCAAAAGTTTGTTGTTTAGGATCACATTCTATTTGAGAAGGAAGTTTTTCGGAATCCCTTTCTTCAAGCCTATTCACGACTCCGGCTATTTGACTCATTTGAGTTTCCATGTTTAAAATGCTAGACTTGGTCTCATTTTGGAATTGCACCATGTTGTTTTGCATGGTGGTCATGTTGGTAGCAATAGCCCGGACCATATCTTCTGTAGACATGTTAGAGTTGGAGAACGGCTCATACCTCATGTGAGGTACATCCCTTTCGTAACCAACATCATCAATTTGTTCAAGGTATTCATCTTGGAGTTTTGGGCAGAAATCCGTAAGATGCCTGTAAGACATGCAAATGTTGCATGTCTTGGCATCTTGAGCTTTTGAGCTTAAGATAATTTCCTTTATTAGAGAAGTCAAGAAGGAAATTTGACTCTCTAAGGATGAAGTGTTGGTATCCATATACTCATGTAAGCTCAGAAAATAGAAGAGTATTTTTTTTTTTGTGAATATTTTTTTTTATTATTATTATTATGAGATAAAAAAAAAGAAAATAATTGCCTTTCCCCAGCAACGGCGCCAAATTTGACGAGCACTTTGTCACGGTGCATCAAAATAAATTCAATACTAAACACTTATACGTAGTATAGGTGAAGTAGAGTTCGTATCCACAAGGAAAGGAATAGTTCTCTTTTTATGAAACTTAGTAAATAAAGGGGGGATTTGGATTGAGTGATTTAATTTAATTAAAAACTAAGATGAACGACCTATATGAGATTTAAATCGAAGATAAAAAGGACTTGGCATTGCTACTTTCCACCTGTTGATATATTTTAGTCGATCGTTGTTATGTCTATAACTTATTCCCTCTCGAATACTCAATCGGGGAGTATATCCACTTCATCGAGGGTAGTTATTAACAACAACCGTTCATTAACAACCCTTACTATTAATCAAATATAGAACAACGCCTTATACCGATTTAATAGTAGCATTTAATCTTTCTAACTCCTTGATGAAATCAATTGAGATTGATAACCTCAACACAACGGTTTCGGTTTAACCAACAAAATTAATCTCTCTTAAGTTTATTAACCACGACCGTGCATTAATAAACCGAAGTTACTTACTTGTGAAACCATCAACGATTAACCATCGGTTCATTGATCATTTCTAGTAATAATTAATATATGAAACAAAACTAGTTGATCCTTTAAGTAATGTTCAAAATATTAATATGAAATATGAGTAGGAATTAAGTAATATTCAAGAAAGAATATTATTAACGGAAATGAATCCTACTATAATTAATATCAAGATGCTAACTAATTGTCATCTTAGCAGCACTCCCCAACATTAATATAGAGGAAGAAAATATCATTCTAACTAATGTCGAGATGTTAACTAATTGTCATCTTAGCAACACTCTCCAACACTAATATAGAGATGGTATTAAGGAAAGAACTATTAATTAATATTCAAGGAAAGAAGTTAAGAAAATAACTTACAACTTTAATAATCAACAAGCTTCAAGAGCAACACCAAGAAATGGAAGTTTAGCTCCTCAAGATGATTGTGAACAAAGGTGAGATGTTCATGGTGCTTGGTGTTGATCTCAGCTAATTGATCCATGCCATCAAGCATTTTACCACCAAAGTCTTCAGCTGCAGTGACAAACTGATTGAAGGAGATTTGGGGCTTATCTTCTTTGGATTCGGTTTTCTGAGGCATACCTAGACCTCTTGATTTAGGCATAGGAGGCCTTCTGGGTTGTTCTTCATGCTGAGGAGGGGTCTTCCTCCTCTTGGAAGTTTCATCAGCAGCAATGGAGGATGTAAGAAATCCATCATTGTCACTGGAAGAGGAGGGCACCCTGAAGATAGGTTTTCTGATGGGGGTGGAAGCCACAGAGTGTTGAGGGGAGATAGGTGTGGCTGCATCTTGTGGTGTAGGCTGTGGAGAAGCAGTTCTGGATGTCTTGATGGAGGGGTTTTGATGTTGTTGTGAGGGAGCATGCTGTTGTGGTGGAAGAGAGGGTGGAGGTGACGGTGACCTAGATCTGATTGAGGGTTGGGATTTGCAGGGAGATGGATTTTTTGTTTTTGGTGAGGAGGTTTTCTGTTGGGGTGAAGTTGTAGAGGAGATGATCTGTTGGTGTCGGTAAGGGATAATTTGTCCTTGAGGGGACGGTGATTTGTTCTTGGGAGGAGAGAACGGTTTGCAGTGTGAAGGAGATGAAGATTTGGGGGTGGAGGTTTTCTGGTGTGAAGGGGTGTTCTGTGCAGAGATGGTTTTCTGTTGGAGTGAGGGGGATTTCTGTTGGGGTTGGGGTGAAGTGATTTTAGGAGAGGGAGGGGGAGAAGGAATGATTGTGGGAATTACCTCTAAGACAGTTTCAGTGAACAGAGAGTCTCTCCATTCTTTGATAAGTTTTTCCATGACCAGAGGTAGGTCATTGACAGTAGAGGGTTCACCTTCCCCATGTGCACTGTGTCGAAACTTGATCAGTGACTCCTTCCTCTTCTTCTCAACTAACCAAGCATCAAAGGCGTCCATCTCATGCTCTTGAAGAGCCTTCACATGGTCTTCTGGTGAGTTTCTGACCAGAGGTGCTTTGCCTTGAAGTTTCTCCTTCTTCTTCTGTAGGACAGAAAGAAGGAAATCCTTGTTTAGACAGGACTCCACATCTTCTGTGTCAGCCCATCTGGGTACTTCTTCTTCTTCAGAGATGAAGTAGGACAAGTTTTTGAGGAGCTCAGTGAGAGGTCCCACTCTCCACTTTCTCCATGCCAGAATCCTGATGAATTTCCTATCAGGGCTAGAAGTACTGCTTCCTTCTTGGTGTTCTGGTGAAGGAACCACCATAGGTTGATCATTTTCAGAGGCAGGAGGAGACGAATGTAGTTCCCCCTGAGAAGTGGCATTCTTCACAACTGCTTCTTCTTCTGAGTCACTTGACTCAAAGATGATCCTCTTGCCGTGCCAAGCATTTCTGTTGGCTGGGGCAGAGGTGACAGAGTCCTCCAGCTTCTCCTGTGCTGCAGGAGTCAGAATTTTGGTCTTCTTAGCAATGGGGGAGGCAGAAGAGGTGCTTGCTGAAGAGATAGGTGAAGGAGCCTTTCTCTTAAGGACAGATTTCTTTGCCACCAGCTTGTGGACTTTGACAGGTGTGGTCTTTTTCTTGGGAACCTTCTTGACCACCTTCTTCACCAAAGGTATTTCTTCTTCAGAGTCAGAAGGGGTAGGGGGTTTCTGTTGCTTCTTTGAAACTTTCTTGGGTTGAACAACCTTCTGTTGTTGCCTTTCCCTATTGAACTCAAGGGTTCTGAGTCTTTTCTGCTCTGCCTTGAGAGCAACCTTCCTGTCACTTGAAGTGTTGAGGAAGAGCAGCTTGGTGTAGTCTACCTCAACAGAGTTTCTCAGTCCTATCCTCGCTGTGAGCAGGATTTCAGAGATGAGGAGACCATAACCCATGGGGGTTCTGAAAAGACCGGTCTCCTTGTCTTTCTTCTTGATGAACTCAACAAGGGATTTGATAATTACTTGTCCCCAGTTGATGTTCATCCCATGATGAACTGCAAAGACAGCCTTTGCATTCAGCGCATTCATGTCATCTGTGGAGGTGCTCTTGCTCCAGACGCACCTATGCAGGATGTTGACCAGTTTTTCATAGTCGCTCAGGAGAAGATTTTTCTTCATGTAAAGTTTTGGAACTCTACCCACTTCAGGTCGGCAGTAGAGTTGGACAAAGTTGTCCACAGTGACATTGACACTGTCCAGAGTGAGGAAGCCTTCAGTTTCTTCTTCTTGTGGGTCCTCTACTACGCCAAAGAGGGCATTGAGGTCTGCAGAGGTGAGTGTAATGTCTTCACCATTGACGTTAGACCGGATGGTCTCCCCTTCGTATGTAGCGTTGAGATAAAACTCTGCTACATCCCTTGTACTGTAGGATTCAAAGTGATAACCTACCACTTTGTTCAGTTGGGAGTCCTCCATTCCCTTGATGATCTTCATCATCGTGTCGTGGTTAGAGGCGAGTTCAGGGAGTGCGGAGAGGTCGCAGTTCATCCCTGTGTAGATATTTGAAACGAGGGTGTTGATTTCCTCCTTGGTGAGGTCGTTGATGTTGATGAAAGCCATTTGTTCAGAGAAGAGTTGCAGAAAGCTTGAGAGCTATGGAGGTTTGAGAGTTTGAAAGTAGTGAGAGCAGTAGCGGTTTAGGTTTGCGAAAGGGGAATTTATGTGTTTGGGTTAGTGGACGTTTGGAATTAATTTATGGTTCCAAGAAACCAATAAATGTAAAAAGGGACGGAGTAAATAAACGGGGGCGCAGTAAATATTATACGGCTTGATACCGTTTTAAGGGTAAAAGGGTAAAAGACCTTTAATAATTTACTAAGGTACCCGGTTTCAGAAAATTTTTAAGTCCACAACCTTCTGAGGATTTTTCTGTAGAAGAGGAGGTTTTCTGTTGCTGAGGGGTTCTGCCATGGTGAGGACCAGAAGGGGTTGACAGAAGAGGTTAACAGAAGGGGTTCACAGAAGGGGTTCTGCAAAAGGTGTTCTATTAACAGGAAATCAGCGACAGAGGGCCTTCCTTTTCAACTTACCCTTGGAATCTCATCCATCATTCCCAATTCTTCTCTCAGTTTATTGAACCTAGCCTCAGGGAGAGGCTTTGTCAGGATATCTGCAAGTTGGTCTTCTGTTGGCACATGTTCCATGCAGATGTGCTTCTTCTCCACATGATCTCTGATGAAGTGATGTCTGATCTCAATATGCTTTGTTCTGGAATGAAGAACTGGATTCTGAGTGATAGCAATGGCACTGGTGTTGTCACACAACAGCTTGATCTCCTTTGCTTGAATTCCATAGTCTTTCAGTTGTTGCTTCATCCAGAGTAGCTGAGCACAGCAACTCCCAGCTGCAATATACTCTGCCTCAGCTGTACTTGTTGAGATGGAGTTTTGCTTCTTGCTAAACCAGGAAACAAGCCTTCCTCCTAGCAATTGGCAGTGACCAGAGGTGCTCTTTCTGTCTAGTCTGCAACCTGCAAAATCTGAGTCAGAGTAACCAATTAGTTCAAAGTTACCTCCCTTGGGATACCATAGGCCTGCATTGGGATTTCCTTTGATGTATCTGATGATTCTCTTTGCAGCACTTAGATGGCTTTCCTTGGGCTTTGACTGGTAGCTGGCACAGATTCCAACAGAGAATGAGATGTCTGGTCTGCTTGCAGTTAGATACAACAGAGATCCAATGATCCCTCTGTATGTTGTTGCATCTACATCTTTTCCTTCATCATCTGGACCAATCCCTTGTGAAGTGTTAATGGGAATCTTCACTGATGATTTGCCTTCCACTCCAAACTTCTTGATTAGATCTCTGGTGTACTTCCCTTGATTGATAAAGATCCCTTCTGGAACTTGTTTGACTTGAAGTCCTAGGAAGTAACTGAGTTCACCCATCATACTCATTTCAAATTGACTATGCATCACTTGAGAAAATTTCTTGCACAGTTCTGAATTAGTACTTCCAAATATAATGTCATCAACATATATTTGTACTAACAGAATATGATTAGCAACAGAGATTTGAAATAGAGTTTTGTCAACCTTTCCTTTAGTAAACCCATGGTTTACTAGGAAAAGGGACAATGTGTCATACCAGGCTCTGGGAGCTTGCTTAAGACCATAGAGGGCCTTTTTAAGCTTGTAGACACAAGAAGATTGAGTAGGAATGACAAAACCTGGTGGTTGTTCCACATAAACTTCTTCTTCAAGATCTCCATTCAGAAATGCACTCTTGACATCCATTTGGTAGACCTTGATGTTGTTGTAGGCAGCATAGGCTAGAAAGATTTTGATGGCTTCAAGTCTGGCAACTGGTGCAAAGGTCTCATCAAAATCTATTCCTTCTTCTTGGCAGTATCCTTTAGCTACTAGCCTTGCTTTGTTCCTTACAATGTTGCCGTCTTCATCTGCTTTGTTCTTGAATACCCATTTGGTTCCAATGACATTCTGGTGCTTTGGCCTAGGAACAAGTTCCCATACTTTGTTCCTTTCAAACTGAGTGAGCTCTTCTTGCATAACATTGATCCAATCTGAGTCTGCAAGAGCTTCTTCAACTGTCATGTTCCATCTGAGATATATAGCAGGCAAGCATTGCTTCTGTCCTTGATGTGGATCTGGTTTGAACTCCACTTCTGATTTGACCAATCACTTGGTTAGGAGGATGATCTCTTAACCATGTCAGATCTGGTTCTGTCAGCTGCTGTCTTGGTCTCTCTGGTTCCTCATCTTCAGAGTCTTCATCTTCATTCAACAGAAGGGGGTTTGGTGCAGGTGTTGGAAATGCAGGGTTGTCTGCCACCTCTTCTGTTGGTTCTGATGTTCTGTCTTCTAAGCTGACATCCTTGAGAATCTCTGTTACCTCTTCAACAGAGACGCTTTCATCAAACTTCACATGTATGGATTCTTCAACATGTAGGGTTCTTCTGTTGAGTACTCTATAGGCTTTACTGGTGTTTGAATAGCCTATAAAGACTCCTTCATCAGCCTTTTCTTGAAATACTTTCAGATGCTCCTTTCCATTGTTGAGAATGTAGCACTTGCATCCAAATACATGAAAGTAGCTGATGTTCGGTTTTCTTCCCTTCCAGAGTTCATAAGGGGTCTTCTGGTGATTCTTGTTGATCATGCTTCTGTTCTGAGTATAGCATGCAGTGTTGATTGCTTCAGCCCAATATCTCATAGGCAATCCAGATTCTGCAATCATTGTTCTTGCAGCTTCTTTTAACGTTCTGTTCCTTCTTTCTGCTACGCCATTCTGTTGAGGGGTTCTGGCGGCAGAAAGTTGATGAAAAGTTCCATTCTGATCACAGAAGTCCTTTATGACTTGGTTGACAAATTCAGTTCCTCTGTCTGATCTGATTGTCTTCACTTTCAAGTTCTTCTCAGTCTGAAGTTGCTTTAGCAGAGATGGCAACTTCTGAAGAGTTTCATTTTTCTTTGTCAGAAAAACAGTCCATGTGTATCTGGAGTAGTCATCAACCATGACTAGGGTGTATTTCTTGCCACCAACGCTTGGAGTCTCAACAGGTCCAAATAAATCCATGTGAATCAGATTTAGAGGACTTGTAGAAAGATCTCCAGCAATGGGTTTGAAGGAATTCTTCACTTGTTTGCCTTTCTGACATGCACTGCAGAGGGTCTCCCTCTTGTACACAATGTCTGGTAGCCCTTCTACAATGTGTTCCCTTGCTAGTTTGTTGATTGTTTTGAAATTCAAATGGTTGAGCTTTTTGTGCCAGTCCCAGCTCAGTTTTGGATCTCCCTTGGCTATCAGGCAAACTCCATCTTTTGCAGTGTTCCAATCAACTACATAGATGTTCTTTTTCCTTGATGCTGTAAGAACCACTTCCTTTGTTGTCTCATGTTTCACATAGCAGAAGTCCTTTGTGAATTCAACAGTGTAGCCTTTGTCACAGAATTGGCTAGCACTCAGCAAGTTGAACTTCAGTCCTTTGACATATGAGACATCATCAATGATTATCTGGTTCTTAATCAACTTTCCTCTTCCTTTTGTTTGACCTTCTTTGTCATTACCTCCAAAGGTAACTCTAGGTCCTTTGCATTTCTGGAACTCTGTTAGGCAACTTCTGTCACCTGTCATGTGCCTGGAGCATCCACTATCAATAAACCATTCTTGTTCAGAGATAGCTCCAGCACACAGTTCCTGCAAGATCAAAAGAAAGATTTAGGTACCCAAGCAATGATGGGTCCTGAGGGGTCATGGAGTCTGGGTAGTTGGTACCATTTTGGTCTCATCAAGTGAAACCTTGGTGGGTGGTACCCATTGTCCACCTGGTAGTTGTAGTAGACAGAAGTGTGATTCACTTTGGGCAGATGCTTGTGAGGGTCATGCTTCCTGTTTACATACTTTTGCATAGCTTTCTTTGTTGGAAAGAAGTCCCATATACTATCAAGAGCGGAGGGACGGTTAACTTTGGGCTTCTGAAGTTGACCAGCCAACCTCTTCTTCCTGAAGTTAACTCTCTCTTGATATTTGCCCTTCTGGTGATCATCTCTAGCACGATTGACATGAGGTTGTCTGTCAATGAATGGTCTTTTATTTTTGTTATTCTGAAAACCTCTTCTGTTGTTAGGTTTTCTGCCAGGTTCATTATTTTTCAAAAAGGGATTCTGTTGAACCTTTATCTTACCCTTTTCTGGTCTGACTTCCTCATTAACAACCTTGGTGCCAGATACACCAGCTTGACAGATGGGGCTAGAAATCAGTGGCTCTATGACCTTATCTGCCTTAGCAACTCTGGTGCTAGGCATTACAGAAGGCTCACCTGATTCTGTTGAGCCATAACCAAGACCAAAACCAGTGCCAATATGTTGATCAAGCACAATCTTTTCCATGGAAGACTGGGCCTTCTGGTAAGCTTTGTACTTAATTTCGAGAGGCTCTATTTCTCTTATTCTCTTAAGAAGAGAAACATTTTTAGTCTCCAGTTGATCTCTTTTCTCAATTAGAAGATTGATTTTGATCTCAACCTCCTTTTTTAAGTCAAGAATTTCAGCTTTTAACTTACTGTTTTCTTCTGTTACAGAAGAATAAGTGGCTTGTATGGCCTTAAACTCTTCCCAAAATTCTGACATTGAATCAGAATCAAAAGCTAAGCCTACCGAAGAAAAACTAGATTCAGAAGTAGAGGTTACCTCATCATCAGAATGAGCCATCAGGCAAAGGTCTTCTGTCTCAGTATCAAGGCAACAGAAGGCCTCATCAGAATCTGAGTCAGAACTGGATTCTGTTTCTGACAGAGGGTCTTTCTCCACCTGTTCTGTCACAAGTGCCTTTCTCCTTCTGGAGTTGTCCTCGTACTTCTTCTTTTCTCCATCCTGTCCTTGCTTCTTGGACACTCTAGGATGGGGACAATCAGCCTTGAAGTGACCAGGTTGTCTGCAATTGTAACAGAGAAGCTCTCCACTGCTTTCTGTTGATTTGACCTTTTGGTATGGCTTTCTGTTGAAAGATGGACTTCTTCCATTTTTGGGATTCTTCATAAACTTTTTGAATCTCCTGGCAAAGGCAGCCATATATTCATCAGATAAAAGTACTGAAGGGTCAAAATCATTTACCTTAGATGTGCTGGCAGTGAGGGCTGTAGTGGTCCTCTCTTCTGGTACATCTTCCTTTTTCTTCAATCATTTCAAACTCATGAGCTTTCAGATCTGAAATGAGCTTATCAGTGGGATAAGTCTTTACATCCTTGCTGGCTTGGACAGCAACTACTTTCATCTTCCATGCTGAGGGCAGTCCCCTCAACACCTTCAGGTTGATCTCCTTGGTTGTGAGATCCTTGCCAAGCTCAGAAATCTCTCCAGTGAGAGTGAGGAGCCTGTCATACATCTTGGAGATGCTTTCACCAGGGAGAAGTTTGAAGTCATCAAACTTCTTGTTGGCTATGGTTAGTTTGTTGTCCTTCTCTTGCTCATCACCAGCTCCAATGAGCTCAAGAGTATCCCAGATCTCCTTAGCAGTCTTGCACTTCTTGATTCTGTTGAAGTATCTATCATCAATGGACTTGTAGAGGATGTCCTTGGCAATATTGTCTAGATTGTACTTTCTCCTCTCTTCAGTGGTCCATTCTGACTTGGCTTTGCTAATCATTTGGGGTCTGGTATTGTCTATGGCATGTTCAGGGTTGACCTTCTGGAAGCTAGTGAAGGGGCCAATATCAAGAACTTCCCACATCTCATCATGCAGGGCACAGAGATGTGCTTTCATCCGGATCCTCCAGTCATCAAACTTAAGATCTGAAAACATAAGATTCTTGGACAGGGAGTGATCCATTATATCAGATAGAAATGAAGTAAAACAGAGAAACAAGTGGATCTTTGTTCAACAAATAACCTAAAAGATTATTAGAACAAGGAGGCTCTGATACCACTTGTTGGTCCCGGTTATACTGGATACAGTCTAGAGGTGGGGGTGAATAGACTGTATTGGTTTTTAGCTTTTTAAACTAAGTACCAGATTTACAGAATAGCCTGTTCTGTTGAAGGAACAGACTGGCAGCGGATGGGGTTCTGGTAGGGAGTTCTGTTAGCCTCAGAGGAGCAAAGGCAGTAGGCCTTCTGTTAACTCGTAGAACAAGTTCTGCTGAACACAGATACCAAGTTCAAGGAGTTATATAGTTCTAACTAAATGCAAGTATTAAAAGCAGTAAGTAAACGACACCAGGGATTTTTATAGTGGTTCAAGGAACAACTCGTTCCTCTAATCCACTGTTCCACTAAGCTGTAAAAACTGCCGTTTACAAAGCCTTAGTCCTAGCACTTAAGAAGCACTCCACGTCTTCTTCAAGCCTAGATGTGTCCTGGGATGCACTGTCTGGCTTCCTTTAACACTGGTCCTTTCACTGAGTCTCCTTGAAGTATCACCACTTCACTACTTCAGTTATTAGGACGTCCTTCTTGTAGCAAGAAGAGTTTCTGTTGAAACTGAGGTTCCTCCAACTAGCTTCGTTACAAAATATATGTATGTGAGGAGCTTGAAGAGTTGAAGAACACTTGGAACTTTGCTTGAGTTGGAAAGAGTATTTTTCCAACTTCTGCCTTCTCTTGTAGAGGGTAATGAGTTTGAATCTCAAGGAGGCTTTTGCTTTTCAAAGTTTGAATATCTTGCTTGGTTAGCAATGTGATAGCAAAGTTATGGCAAAGTTATCCGGTTGTTCTTCATAGTGTATCTTTTATACTGAGGTTGTCTTCCCGTTGGAGGGGTAGGAGGACAACTGCATTTAATGCGCGAGCAGTTGACTTGACCAGTAGGACCCGGTAAAGTTGGCGGGTTACTATTTCGGGATAAAGTAATCCTGACATTGCGGCCAATCATCTGCAATTACTCCACGGAGCATGGGGAGCATTAAATAAGCATTTAATGCGAGCACTGTAGCTTTTCCGTTTCATACTCCTAGCCGTTGAAGGAATCTTTAAGTTGACTTCCCGGCTTTGTGGATTTCTTCCAAGTGTCAGACCTTCTGGTGTCATTGGCAGAGAACTGATTCTGGGAAGATCATGAGCACTTCTGTTGTTGGTAGCTTACAGAGGACCAGGAGGGTTTCCGTCACGCTAAAGGGTAACAGAGACCCTGACGTTTTCTGTTCCTAGACAGAGAACCAAGATCTTCTGTCTGGAGGACTTCTGGTAGAGAGGCCTTCTGGTGGTCGAAAATGCTAAGAACTTTACAAGGGAAAATTCTAATACATAATTTCTAAAGGGGTACTCTACAGTCCTAATTAATATAGCATCATCAAAATCTAAATACAATTATTCCTTACAATTCTAAACTGAGCTTAAGAGTATGGAAGAAGGAATTATTAAAAGTGAAGGAAAAGTATGCTATTTATAGGTGTTTTCAACACCCTGGGGCGAATACCCGACCGGGTAAAGTGCCATACCCGACCGGGTATCAGTCAAAATCAAATATTTGCCACGTTCTGGTGATCTTCGCACGCCGTTTTGTCCCGGGTTACATCTGACCCGACCGGGTCAAGTAGGGGACCCGACCGGGTCCAGTGACTTTCTTGGCAATTTCGTCTGTTAAATCATACCCGACCGGGTGGGGGTTTCTACCCGGTCGGGTTTTACTCCTGGGCAGTCAAATTTCTTGTTTTCTTCTCTTCAAAGTCTTTCTTTCCAACACCATAATTCCTAATTCTACTTTACAACTAATAAATGAAGATTAAAATACAATTACAACTAAATTCACACAAATGTTTACAAACTAAATAAAACGGTAAACAATACACACAAATCAATCATAAAAATATACATTTATGCACTACTAATTAGTGCATATCAGTAGAGCCTTCCGTCTTCGATGGTGTAGCTAGGAGCCCTCAGCTTTGCTAGTTTGGCGCGGGCTTCATCCTCGGGTAGTTGCCCTGTGGTGATGAAGGCGATGATGTCCGAGATCCAGTCCTCTTGCCTTTGATGGATGTTCATGATGGGGCTGGCGTGTATGCTCGAGAGTCTAAGTTCTTCTATCCTTGCGATTTTAGAGAGGTGCTCGGGGGATTCATCCGAGAGTTTTGATAAAATATCGGCCTCATAATTTTGAGTCCTCAGTATTTGGGTGAGAGAATGTGCCTCAAATACCTTGAGCAATTCTTTAGCCGCCTCCCTGTATTGTTTCATCCTCCCTTCCTTGGCCTCGTACTCCCCAGAGATTTGGCCCACGACAAGCTTGGAGTCACACTTGACGTGGATCATTCTGACCTTCATATTCGCTGCCAGCCGAAGGCCACAGAGGAGGGCTTCATATTCCTCTTCGTTATTGGAGACTTTGAAGGAGAAGCGGATGACATAGTAGGCCCGGAAGCCTTTGGGAGTAATGAGAACTACTCCTCCCTCGCATGCTTTGGTGGCTGAGGAGCCATCGGTATAGAGGGTCCACCACTCGTCTGAAGGTGCCGAGGGCTCCTCATCTACTGCTTATCTGGCCGTGCACTCCGTTACGAAGTCCGCCAGGGCTTGGCCCTTTATGGAAGGCCTCGGACGGATGTCAATGTTATATTGGCTGAGGAAGATGGCCCATTTTACCATTCTAGAGGAGCTGGTGGGGCTCCTCATAAGGGCGTCGAGGGGTTGATGTGTGAGCACTTGGACCGGATGAGCCTGAAAGTAGTGGCCAAGCTTTTTGACGGTCCAGACAATGGCCAGCACCATTTTTTCCACAGGAGAGTACTTGAGTTCGGCCTCCTTGAGGGTCTTGCTAACATAGAAGATGGCATTTTGGACGCCATCTTCCTCCCGGATGAGCACTGAGCTGATGGCAGCCGGGCTGACGCCAAGGTAAAGGTACAGAGTTTCCCCTACCTTGGGTTTGGAGAGCACAGGGGGTGAAGATAAATACCGTTTTAGTTCGTCGAAGGCCTCCTTGCAGTCTGAAGTCCATTGGAAACCGGCGGTCTTCCTCATGATCTGGAAGAAGGGTAAAGACTTCTCCGCCGATTTGGATAGGAAGCAGTTGAGGGCTGCCAGGCGGCCCGTAACTCACATAGGAAGGAGCCTGGAGGACCAAGGAAGGAGAAGGATATTAAAAAAATGACATACGCTTTAATAAGAAGATTTAGTGGAGTTACAGAGAATTTGGTGAATTAGATTTCAGAGATACTCACCAATATTGAGAAGATTGGTGATGATGGACTCTCCGAGTTGATGTCGCTGAAATCGTTGGAAACCTCATAGAGCTCTTATCAAGAGTCCAGGTTGAGTAGGGAAGAGTTAGAAAATGAAGAGGTTCTGAGCAGAAAAGCCTAGCATCGAGAAGGCTTCAAAGGTAGACGCCAGCGTTTACAAAAATGCCCATGGTCATGAGTGGGAAACACACTTAAGTCAATTAATATATTTATATATATAGATATGCATCCTCAATGTAAATTGTGATTAAATTCAATTCTCAAACCAATGGCCGTGAAAACATCAATCGACGGGTAATCTTGATGGAGCAGACGACAATTATTGTGAAAGCTTCCAATATTCTTTTAGGTCTTCCCGTAGAGCCCCTTCTGCTATTATTCTCAATTAGCACCCGGCCGACGGCAGCAGTCCGGCAGACACAAACACTAGCACGGATCGAGCGGTAGAGGTGTAGAGGTGTTCTAATTCTTCTATGCTTCATACAATTCTTATTTCCTATTTTCGTATTTCTTTAACTCGCATTCTTTACTTGATTGGTGAAATCATTCCAACTGAACATACTTTTTGTAATTTTCTGAATCTCTCTATATATATATGCACTTATTTCCTATTTTCTTATTTCTTTAACTCGCATTCTTTACTTGATTGGTGAAATCATTCCATCTTCATCTTAATCTTTTTTTTTGTGAATCTCTCTCTCTCTCTCTCTCTCTCTCTCTCTCTCTCTCTCTATATATATATATATATATATATATATATATATATGTATATATATATGTATATATATATACATATATATATATGTGTATATATATAGACATATATATATATATACATATATATATATACATATATATATACACATATATATATATAGATATACATATATATATATACATATATATATATACATATATATATATAATCAGTTCATTTTTTGAGAATAAGACTCATCTAAATATTGTTTTGAAAAAGAAATCCCACACAAAACTTAAGCCCATTTTTTTTTTTTTTTACAGTGTCCCTGTTTTGGAACAAATAAAAATGTGAATCCATTTTAAAACAACAAATGCATACATTATTAGATGAACACGATAAAAAAACTAGCTATTGAGATGCATACTAATACCAGAAACATACAGTACAAGAGTACAAAAAACAACAACATCAAAAAAGTAAGGATCAACAATGTAAAACCAACCATGAAACAAAAAACATCACTTTTAAAAGTCCACTGAAAAATAAGCAAAACTATGGGGAATACCTTAGTAACATAAGATGGTTAAAAATATTAAATATTTACTCACACCCTAGTTTAAGTACTTTTGCTAAAACAATTCTTTTTTTGGATTCAAAACCTAACACTTTAGAGATCCTTGAAATAAACGTTTTGGATGGTCCAAGAAATATTCTTATTAGATAGATGTAAGAAATAAAACACCCTCGAGATTGGGAAGTAGGAATAAAACTGCAAAGACTATCTACTGTAGCTCCACTAACAACATAAGCTCACTTGAAGTATTTTATCAGGATGTAAAATGAATATGATATCTTCATTATCTGATATAATCATACAAGAAAGAATTATCTAAAAATGACATTTTATATTATACAAAGAAAGTTTATCCTAGTGTCAATGCTTTCCTCTCAATTATTTGCTCTATTCATTGATAGATGTATATTTCATATTTAATTATTTATTTAGCGACTTCCTATATAAATTTTAAAATTTTACATTGTAAGATAATGCTAGATGAAAACAGGACATAAAAGTTGGTTCTCTATAACATATTTTAGCTTGCTCAACACTTCAACCTCTTCAGAAAGTGAAAAAGGAGCGAATGCAAATACACTACAGTGGTAGAAAGCCAATTACAATCCATGGATAACCTCATATCACATAATAATGGTCTATTATATATTGCTCACAACTCACACGATGCATAAAGTCACATTTATGTTTTACAAGAAATCTAAAGACTGCCTTCATATGAACAAATAGCACAAGCAGTGCTTGCTGATCTCAATCATTAGAGGGATTGCAGTAGAATAGAATTTAAATTTCATCAATCAAAGTAGCGATATTAGCATACCTCTAAGATCAACATAACATCATTCTAGAATCACAACCAAATTATGTAGACTTGTCACGAGCAAAATACCGACCATATCCAAAACCTTTAATTAACTATATATCAAAGATATTTAATGATAATGATGAATAAAAGAGATGGAAATATATCAAGATATAATGTGATCGACTAAGTGGAACTTGTAATGCAAACTGCCTAATTTAAGTACTTAGCCATATTAATTTATTATCAACTTTTTATCTATCTATTTTGTCAAATTCACATTGTATTCGTAGACAAAAAACTCTCAAGGGATATAGTTCAATATTATATTTTCCTTCATGGCTTCATTTATTCAGTCTAATTTATATATTTATATATCTCGCCATTACGTATGATTCCGCTCATAAAATTTCAAGTTCAACAATAACCTTACTATCTCTAATAAACGGGGAAAAGCAAGTCAAGCTTTTCTTCCTAGTTCATTAAGTCATATTAACAAACACATAATGTGCTTCATTTATTGTTTGTTGTTAGTGGCAGTACTATTGTTTAATCCAACCCCACGTCAAGATAAATGGTCTAAACACAATATACACATATTGGCCCCCTTTTTATCACCAAATATGAAAACACAAGACAAGAGGGTGATAAGAAAAACTAGTCAGAAATTCTTAATAAAAAATCAAATGAGAATCTTCTTCAAATAAATTTTATTGAACAGAAATAGCGAAGACTATGTTATATACAAATTCAATTCAAACAAGCAAGCCACGTAAACTAAATATCAATCTCTCAACTAACTTTTGAATCTGTAATCTTATGTTTTCCTTATAGCTAAAAAAACCTTAAAATCATTTTTTCATAGGTAAAATGTTGAAAGGAACGAACACAATAGCATCTTTGACTAAATCATAAAAGAGGAAGATAAAATACCCACCGTTCTAGTTCAAACATTTCTTCGAGCACCTCTTGTGTAGAAGTAACATATGGTTGGAGTTGTGGTTATTCTCAGCCTTCTTGAAATTCTCTTTATCCATAGAAAAGAAATTCATTTCCAGAAGCTTCCCTACCTAGCGGACGTCTCCGGCAATGGTTTCCTATTTGGGCCATCAACGAGGAGGGTCCTCTGTCAGCGAAAGGGAGTTCATTTTCCTTTCTTCAGCCAGTTCCGGCATCTCCGCAGCCGCTCCATTAGCCATGTCATCGGCGCGATTTAGAGATGCAATCTCACCACGGGTGGAGTCGCCAACTCATGTTCTCTCAATCTCGATTAGCAACAGTTGTGGCCTACGGGTTATTTGGTTTGCTACTTTAGGGTTATGGTTTAGTGGTCATATAAAAAACGGGGAAACTTTGGTTTTGGGAAATTCATTTGCCACTTAGTTTTAAGTCTTAAGTTTTGATATATAATAAAAGTGTTACATTTAATGTCACTAAATGTAACACTTATTAAAGAAATGTAACAATATCTTTGTAATTAAATAAGTGTTACATTAGAACCACACTAAATTGACAATTGTAACGCAAATGAATCGTATCGTCTAAAACCATTACAATAGATTCACCTAATGTAACATTTTAAGCATCTGTTACAACTTAAACGTTGCATTAGGTCCGAAAATGTAGTAGTGCCGAAATAGGACTAAAAAGGTTTGAAAATTCCAAAAAAGGACTGTCATGTTTTTATTCCCAAAATAGGACTAATTAATGTCATGTTTTGGCAGTACCAGACTTCAAACATGATAGTATTTTCTAAACTTGACAATGATTACTTCTATTTTGAGAATAAAAAAAATGACAATCCTATTTTGGAATTTTCAAACTGTTTTAGTTTTATTTCGGGGACTTTCCCTTTCTTTTTCGGGTTGTCCCAAAAATATGATCAATTTCCTAAATTGGATTCCACTAAATTTTTACTTTCCCATTTATGCTTTTATCTATCATTTTGTCTTTTACTTTTGAACTCATACTATTTTTTTCTTACTTTTGGAAGTTAAAATGGTAATACACGCACTTTAAATAATTTATCCTTTATATATTTTCTTAAAAAACGCACTAAACCCAAACACATCTTATTATGGGACAGAGTATTATTTTGTCCACTCAATCTAATATTTTTCAACTTCATAACACATACACGCATTTTATAAGCAAGGCGTTTTACTACATTGAATATTTTACATACGCAGTAGTATTTTACATCATAATATACGTAAATGACACAGAGTATAAAACATGACTTATGAGTTATGACGTGATTATTTGAATTCAAAATTTACTGATATAGTCAGGAGTATTCTTGCTTTCCTTTCTTGCTTAGGGCCACAAAATTTTATATTCATTACTGAATACTTCGTATATGACTTAGGGTTGATATTGTTTTTTTTTTAATTTTATATTCATTAAATCATTACTGAATATAAAGTTTAGGGTTAATATTCTTGAATACTTTATACGTAGTATTGATGACTGAATATAAAGCTTAGGGTTGATGTTGTTTTTTTTCTTGACACCATGCTGTTTTAAATTAAGTTCATAATTTATAATAAAATTGTGTCAGATGCCCCGTGCCAGAAAATATCGAACTGGGAACCTAAATTGAATGAAAATTTGAAAACTACTCCGTATCATTTTGAGCATTGTGAAACTGGTCTTTTGTCCTTTCAATTTTGCTAGGTGTACACCAATTGTGTATCTTTGGTACCCCATATAAATATCTCCCCTTTTTTTACCTCACTTCCTTTTCAATTCAAATTTTTACCCATCTTTCTTTTCTCTTCCACCCTTCCATTCCTCCCGCCCCGTACTCCTGCACCTCCTCGATTTTGAACCGCCATTCGGAAATCCGAAGATCCATCATCTACGTCTGAATCGAAGCTCCCAACACATAATCGGTGGTCGGACGCTGATCCAACAAAGGCTGAACCGACGAAGGCTACTCCCAACGACGGACGTTGCTCCAAATAGCCGTAGCTGCTCCAACCGACGAACTCTGTTCCAACTGACGAGGCGCTGCTCCAATTGACGAGGCGCTGCTCCAAGTTCAACGGAAAACACCTTGAATGGCTGGAAATCAGTTGGTGTGAGATTTGATCACTTTAAAGATTTATTCAAATTAGTGAGTGTTTAGAGTGTAATATTTTCATCCTTCTGTAGTACTCACTTGTGCATAATTGATTTAATTTAATTAAACAAGACCTAATTTTGTTTATGTGATTTAAGAGTTGTTTGTCTGTCTGTTTGTGTGTTGTGAGATGTCTGTCACACGTTTTGAATTGTTTGTAAGGAGTTCACACATTAGTGTGATGTTTTAAATAGATGTTTGCCATTCATGTTTTCATGTTTGTCATATGTTTCAAGTTGTCTGTCATTTGTTTTGAGTTGTCTGTCATTTGTTGTGATGTTATAGATACATGTTTTTTGTTGTTTCCCCCTTTTCCCCTAATGTATACAAGTGCCCCTCAGGTTTTCTTGTAATAATACTTTGAAAAAATATTTAGAGATAAAGTAGTTGTAATAAAGGTTTTATTAGAGACTAAAATTATCATTTCGTAAAGGTTACATAAGAGATTTAGAAAAGTAGAAACGTAACCCCCTATGAGTTTGGAAGAACATACTAAGATTCAA